AAAATCTTGAGTGAAGCACTCCAACATACAATCACCAATTAAATATAAATACAACAAAGTCACAATGTCTCAGAGACAATAGACCATCACAGTTCACACAAAGAAGCAAGAGAAACAAGGGACTAGGATACAGACCCAGAACACATCACTGAGGAAGAAACGGCATTGGAACTCCCTGATAAGCAATTCAAAAGAATTATATTTAGGTACCTTCAATGCACTGAGAGACAGATCAAGGAAAACATTGACAAAATTAAGGAAAACTAGACAAAACCCTAGAACAATTTTGGAAGAAAATACAAGAACAAAATGACAAAATAAATCAAGAAGTAGAAATGATACAAAATCTACAGATAGAAATCCAGAAGATTAATACTAAATTTTCAGAATTAGATAATACATTGAAAGGCAAAGGAGTAGAATAGAATCAATGGAAGACAGAATTAATGAGATTGAAGACAAATACCTGAATACTTCTTTGGAAAGGGATCAATCAGAAAAAAAGATCAAATGAAGAAAGCCTAAGATTCATGTGGGATACCATCAAAAGGAATAACGTATGTGTAATCAGAATTCTAGAACAAGAAGAGAAAAAGAAAACCACAGAGAAAATTGTGGAAGAGTTGTTGGAAGAGAACTTCCCTGATATGATGAAAGATGAGAATATATCTGTGATAGTTGGAGCTGTGTGTCAACTTGGCTGGATCACAGTTCTGTGTGGTTTAAGCAGTTGTGATGTGGTTATTCCCATGATGGTATCAGATAAATATGTTTTGAGCAGCCAGTCCATTGAAAGGGAGTTTCCCTAGGTGTGTGGCCTGCTTCCAGTATATTTATGGACATCCTGGGAAAAGAGACACTCTTCTATGGATTGGGATTCTGTTGTGCTGCCTACAACTGTCTGTGAGTGAACAATCCACCATTCGGCCTGGAGATCTTGGATTCGTCATTCATTGGAGTCAACAGCCAGTATACTGCCTGCCAACCTTGAGCTCCTCAGCCCCTGCAGCTGCAAGAGTTGGGAAGAGCCTCCAGCTTGATGTTTGATCCAAGAACTTTGGACTTGCCAGCTTCTATAAATGTGTGAGCCATTTTCCTAAGATAAATATCTCTTTCTCTCTATTTAAGCTTTACTGGTTTTGTTTCTCTAGAAAACCCAGTCTAACACAATATCCATTCAGAAAGTCCAATGAACCCCAAGCAGGATAGACCCCGAAAGAAAATCACCAAGACATATCATAATCAAACTCACCAAAACCAAAGACAAAGAATCTTGAAAGCAGCACAGGAAAAACTAAAAGTTACCTACTGATGGCAACATTAAGACTAAGCTCTGATTTCTCAGCAGAAACCATCCAGGCAAGAAGGCAATGGGATGGTATACATAAAACCCTGAGAGAGAAAAATTTCCAACCAAGAATTATATACCCAGCAAAATTGTCCCTCAAATATGATGGTGAAATTAGGAGATTTCCAGATAAGCAGAAATTAAGGGACTTTGTTAAAACAAGACTAACCTTGCAAGAGATAATAAAGGCAGTCCTTTAGACAGTGAACCAGTAATACCACACAACAACTGACCATTAATACACAAGAAGACATAACCCAGAAACCAACACAGTTATGGAATTATCCAAAGTAAAATAAGCTTACAAGATTGTAAACAGAGAACCAGAGACATCACTTGGCAAATAAGGACAACTACAAAACAAATAGAGAGAAAAAGCAGTGTAGTTACAGAACTTCTGAATGGTAGGGAAGTCAAGAGAGTTGCAAGATAGAATGGACTGTTCAAAACTCAAGTAGAAAATAATAAATCACAGGATAACCTCAAAGAAAATTGATAAGGCTTCACATCAAAATATAAGGAGAACAAGGACAAATACTTAGAAATACTAAAACAACATCAGCAAAGGAAATGATAACATGATTCATAAACATAACGAGCTCAGCACAGAAAATTATATAGAACAAAGAAACCAGGAACACCATGAAAAAAACACAAAACAAAATGACAGCAACAAATTCATACTTGTTGATAATTACACTGAATGTCAATGTGTGAAATACACCACTCAAGAGATGGAGAGTTGCAGAATGGATAAGAAAACATAACCCATCAATATGTTGTCTACCAGAGACACACCTTAGAGACAAAGACACAAATAGACCAAAAATCAAAAGTTGGCAAAAGATACATCAAGCAAATGGCAAGCAAAAAAGAACAGGAGTGGCAATATTAACTTCTGATAAAATTGACTTTAAGACAAAAACCACCATAAGAGACAAAGGAACGACATTATATAATGACTAAAGGCTCAAACAAGAAGATATAACCATAATAAATATATATGGAGCCAATGAAAGAGCCCCAAAATACATAAATCAGACTTGAACAGAATTGAAAAGGTAAATAGATGACTCCACAGTCCTAGTGTTGTTGTTGTTGTTGTGTGCTGTTGAGTCGGACCCGACTCATAGCGACCCCTCCTTGGCTTTCCGAGGTGGTATCACTACAGAAGTAGATTGCCCAACCTTCCTTCCGAGGAGTGGCTGGTGGGTTTGAATCACCAGCCTTCTGGTTAGCAGTCAAGTGCCTTAGGCACTATGCTACCAGAGCTCCTCCACAGTCATAGTTGTTGTTGTTGTTATGTGCCATCGAATCGGACCCGACTCATAGCGACCCCTCCATGGGTTTCCAAGGCAGTATCACTACGGAAGTAGATTACCCCATCTTCCTTCCAAGGAGTGGCTAGTGGGTTTGAACCACCTGCCTTCTGATAAGCTGTCAAGTAGCTTAGACGCTACCACTTTCAATCAAAGATAGAACAACTGGAAAGAAACTCAGCAAAGACGCAGAACAACTAAACAATACAATCCATCAACTTGACCTTACAGACATCTACAGAGCACTTCACCCAACAATAGCACAATATACATTCTTTTCCAGTGCACATGCAACACTCTTCAGGACAGACCATATGTTAGGCCATAAAGCAAGCCTTAATAAAATTTAAAACACTGAAATACTACAAAGCATTTTCTCAGATCAAAATGCTATCAAATTAGAAGTCAACAATAAGAAGATCAATGGAAAAGGAGTAAACACACAGAAACTGAACAACACCCTCCTTAAGAATGACTGGCTAATAAAAGAAATAAAAAAATGAAATAAAAAATTCCTTGAATCAAATGAGAGTGAAAACACAACATACCAAAATCTTTGGGACATAGCAAAAGCAGTGATCAGAGGCCAATTTATAGCAATAAATGCACACATCAAAAAAGAAGAGCCAAGATCAACACCTTAAACCAAAATCTCCAACAATTAGAAAAAGAACAGCACGAAAAGCCTACAGACACCAGAAAAAAAGGAAATAATAAAGATATGAGCAGAGGAAAGGTCCCTACCAAAGAAGGGATTTAAAGTGTCTCACCACCATCCAGGGGATTACATGAGGGAGTGACTGTGAAAAGAAGGACCAAGGACTGAGCTGGAAGGAACCAGAACAGGTAAGAGGTCAGGTAGGGGACAGAGACCCATGACAGGAACTCAGAAGATTCAGTTAGTAAGGTAAAAGGAAACCCGGAAGAGTGCAGGGTAATGGAAAACAAGTGAATAAAGTGTCTCCAGAAGGTAGGAGCAATCGGCTGTGCCAAATGTTACTCTTCAGATGAGAAGAGAATTAACCGTTATGCTTGGCAACAAGAAACTGACTCACTCACTGCCATCAAGTGCACTCCGAGTCATAGACACCCTCACTGGGTTTCCAAGGCTGTAAATCTCCATGTAAGCAGACGGCCCCATATTTCTTGGAAAGGTTGAACCGCCAACCTTCCATTAACATCCTAATGTTTTAACCAATACCTTACCAGAGCTCCTTCTGTTATAAAGGAGAGCAGAAAAATGGGACGCAGAATCCCTGGTGGTGTAATAGTTAAATGCTAGTCTGCTAATCTAAAAGTCAATGGTTGAACCCACTTGCAGCTCAGCTGAAGAAAGATGAGGCAGTCTGCTTCCCTAAAGATTTAAAGCCCTCCAAACCCTATGGGGCAGTTCTACTCTGTCCTATAGGGTCACTATGATTGGGAATCAATTTCACTGCAATAGGTTTTGGTCTTGGAGCTAGCAGGTGATATGCAGGCAAGGAAGAATTGTTTTAAATGATGGGGGATATAATACAATATATTTATTTGTATACTGCTGTAAATGTACTAGCATAATCGGAGATAAATCCTGGCATTCTGCCCTCATGAAGTCTAACCTTCAGAGGACTTCATGAAAACAAGTACCACAAATCCGTCCGCACTGCATAAAATCAAGGCAGCTGATACGTGAAGAAGCTCGGGCAACCTTAAGCTAGCGACAAGGAAAAGGGGAGGAAGATCTTCAACCTTCAGCGGCTGGCGTGCTGAGGCGCCTATGGGATATGGCGCCCACCCACTCTCCAGATTCAGCAAGACGCGGCCCCAGGACACCCAGTGCATTTAGCGGCGCCTGGCTTCCCGATTCTACCTATTCAGCCACATTCCGAGTCATTACAAAATGGAAGCGGGAGAAAAATCTTCTCAAGAACATCTCTGTGGGGGAGGCTTCCTCCGTCCCTCTACAAGGTTCCCGCTTCCTCCGTCCCTCTACAAGGTTCCCTTCAGCGCCTTAGCCCGCTTCTCAAGGTTCGCTGTCTCCGCTCCGGAATCACAAAAGACTCCTTGCACCAGCCTGGCCGTTTTCCCCTCCAGCGCAGCACTCCGACGCCCCAGGCCAGGACGGCGGTAGCCTCTAGCGATCGTGGCGCCACACCCATCCAGCGGTTGGGTCGGGGTCACAGTAAGTGGATGAGTCACGCGGGACGCCTGGATGTTGGCCGCCCCGAGGTCACGTGGCAGGCCCGGGCCAATGGGCGCGTGGCTTGGAATCCCTGGGCGGTGGGCGGCTAGAGTTGTATCACTGGACTTGCGCTGAAGCCGCAGTAGATCTAGGGAAAGGGCTGACGAAGGCCGGCCCATGGAGCATCAAGTCCAGCGAGCTCGCGCCGCGTTCCGGACTGGCCGGACACGGCCCCTGCAGTTCCGGCTGCAGCAGCTCCAGGCCCTGCGGAGAATGGTGCAAGAGCGCGAGACAGACATTCTGGCAGCCATCGGCGCCGACCTGCGCAAGGTGCGGATGCCGGCCTCCCGCCTCTACACTTTGGGACCGCATTTCCTTGAAGGATCTTCCTTCTTGCTGATTACTCAACCAGAAGTGTTTCCCGACTTTCCCTATCCATGCATTTGTTTTCTGCTTTCTATAGTTCTTTTTGTTTGAATTATATATCCTTTGCCAATATTTCCGTTGCGTCCGTGGTTTGGTTTGGTTTTTGAACTCTGTATATCCTGGATGTCATAGTTTGCCAACTTAACATATTGCCAATATGGTCTGTTTCTTTTAACTTTGTGGTTTCTTTTGTAGACGGAGGTGTTTTGTTGTTGTCGTTTCGTCGTTGTTGCTCTCAAATTTTCTGTCATAATTTTGTGTTTTAGGTCAGCGCACTTCAAACTCTAGTGTATTGCGGAATTACCTAAGGATCTTGTTAAAATGCAAATTACGATTCAGTAGGTCTGGGATGGAGTTTGAGATTCTTAAGTTCTTAATAAACTACCTAGTGATAACTTGCTTTCATTTCTAGAGCTACACTTTTGAGTAGTAGTATTACTATCATCTTGTTTTCACTTTTTATATGCATTCCACATGTAACAAGACCTTCCTTTGGTTTTGTTGGTCTCCTTTTTCCTGCCTCCCTCCATCACAGTTTATTTCAAGGAATAGTAGTATCAGTAGTAGTAATGGTAGTAACCATAAAATTTCCTTTATAGTATTTTTGGTGGAAAGGGGTGTAATATCAAATACGCAAGGTGGGATAATTATGATTCTAAAAAGGCTGAGATTTATTTACTTATTCTATAAATATTAAATGTTTGTGAGTATGTATGTGTATAAATATTAAGTGTTTGTGAGTATGTATGTGTACAGGAGTACTAAAGAAATTGTTGTCAGAATGCACCAGTCCCTGGAGAAAGATACCATGCTTGGTAAAATTAGAGGGGCAGAGGAAAAGGGGAAGACCCTCAGTAAGATGGATTGACACAGTGGCTGCCGTCATGGGCTCAAGCATAGCAAGAATTCTGAGGATGGCGCAGGACCTGGCAGTGTTTCCTTTTGTTATACATGAAGTAGCTATGAGTCAGAATTGACTCCATGGCTCCTAACAATAACAACAACTTGCTGACCTTAAGTTCCTTGACCTTAAGAGTTTTAAATTTGGTTGGCAAAGCATACACAAATAAAATGTGAATACAGTTAACAACAACAACTAGTATATTGAGGGTGAAATATTAACATACAGGTTGAAGGAAGGTTGGGCAGTCTACTTCCGTAGTGATACTGCCTCAGAAACCCAAGGAGAGGTCGCTATGAGTTGGATCCGATTTGACGGGAGTGCGTTGTGTTTTTTGTTTGTAGGTTGAAAGAATAGTTGTTACTGTATATAAATTAAAGTGTGATCAGGCCAAGCCATTATTAATCAGAGAAGTCTTCCTGAAGGAGGTAAAGTTTAAACTCGATTTTAAAGAGCTTGGATCAGTAAGTACAAAAGGATTTGAGGGTTTGAATGTATTACAGGCAGTTAGCAAGTTACTATTGAAGGCTCAGGAGTTCTTGGGTTGTGCAAACTGTTCACATACTTGGCTATTAACAGAAAGGTTGTAGGTCCACCTAGAAGAAGCACCTTGCTTGGCACAAGCACAAAGGCTTGGCAGTCTACTCCTGAAAAATGTGCAATTGAAAATCCTATGGAGCACAGTTTTACTCTGACATATGGGATTGCCATGAGTTGGAATTGACTTGATGCCAACTGGTTTTGTTGAAGGCTTGGAGGATACAAAAGTAATCTGGATGGTAAACCAGCTAGTCTGATAATGCATGTGGTTGTTAGTGCAAGGGCCTGAGTTGTCAGTAGCCTTAGGTTTTTGACATTCTGGGCCGAGTGTGTCATACTAACTGTGTAAGGTTAACTGTGGTTCTGTTTTAACAGAGTGAATTCAATGCATACAGTCAGGAAATCATTAACACCCTTGGAGAAATTGATCATGTGTTGGAGAAGCTTCCGGAATGGATTACTCCTATGCCAGCTGAGAAGAACCTGCTCACCATACTGGATGAGGCCTATATTCATTCAGAGCCCCTGGGAGTCGTACTAGTTATTGGAGCTTGGAACTACCCCTTTGTTCTCAACATCCACCCACTGATAGGAGCCATTGCTGCAGGTTTGGTGACAGCTTGTATCTTTATACCTTTTTAGAGAGGCTTATTCTCTCCTATTGGTAGTAAATTAAGCATTGTGGCTAATTAAATAATTTTGCTTGGTAGTTTGCTTTGGTTTATACCAGCAGTGTATTGAGAATTCATAATTACTGTGTTTATTGAAAATTGGGTTGCAGGGGAGATCTGCATAATGACTATCTTTTGAAGCATCCAGAGAATACACAAGTGAGGGTGTAAAGACATCTGAATTAACAGGCCCAAGAGTTTGTAATCAGGTATCCATTGTTTTAAATGTGGGTTCAATTGCTGGCTCTGGCCTTGGATGAACCATTTGCTTTTGTCTGACCAGGTTCTTCATTTAAGTAAGGGCTGTGGGAATCATGCTACCCTGGGTGTATAGCAATGTCAAGAAATTAATTTAGCACTTCTGCAGGTCTAGATCAACAACTTTGTGTTGTCAAGGCCTGCTTCCTGTCAATTTAAGAGTGTAGAGAAAAAGCCAAGAGTGGGGGAAAAATGATAGACAGCTGAAGGAGCAGGGAAGGCTCATTGAGCCTATAGCTAATGACCTGAAGCTAATGAGAACTAAGGAGTTAGCATTTGAAAAATAAAAATAAAATGGAAGTGAAGATAAAGTGAGGTAAGCTTTTCTACCAATTATGAGGAAGAAAGGAATTAAAAGCTGCAGAAAAAGCTTGAGTGCCTAGTCTGTATTCTACGTGTGCACGCTGTTTTGGTAGCTGTTGAAGTTACTAAAGTATTAGATGATATTGTTCTGTTCTTTACTTTGTTCAGGAAATGCTGTGATTATCAAGCCTTCTGAACTAAGTGAAAATACAGCCAAGATCTTGGCTAAGCTTCTCCCTCAGTACATAGACCAGGTAAGAGTGTCTTGTTTTATCTTCAATATACCTGTTTATTTTAGGAAACACATGGTCACATGTTTAATCTTCTATACCAAATGATAGGGCATGCCATTGAAGGCAGGAGACCTGTTTGCAGGTTCCTTAAGCCTCCAAAAATTGGCTTAGTAAAAGAACTTAAAGTTTCAAATTAATATTGTGAAATGACCCAGCTATTGTGGTTATGAAATATGTTTAGGCTGATGGCTTCATAGGTTCACCTGTTATTTACAAATCCTTTTTGTGGTATTTGTCATTTTGCTTGCTCTAAAAAAAGATTTTTGGTGTATTCATTCAGTGAATTACTTATTGAGGGGATTGGTCCTGTGCTATGGGCTGGTATCTTTTTGCTGCTGACAGTTTCTTTTGCCTAACAGTTCCAGCTATTTAAGAGCACTCCTGCTTTTAGTTAGTATGTTTATGTTAGTATGTTTATACCATGAAAACTGCAGAAAGAAAATGACTCCTGAATCAAAGGGTGTATCCTCAACCAGAGTTACAGTTTAACTCTGTGAATCATAGGTTCATACATACTCCTTGGGAGGAAGCTTATGATGCTACCGTTTGCTATGATCTTGCAAAAAAACGGCAAGGAGGCCACATGTTCTGACCTCCTCTAACCCTACAAGGGGAAGGCAGGATTACCAGCAGTAACCCAAGGCCTATCACTGCAAGGGCAAACATGCTGCCTCCCTCCAGCCCTTTCACCAACCGTTCCTCCCAAAGCACCCACCACCTCTCTCCTGGGTTCGATAATTCGCTGCAGTGGCCACACAGAACTCACAGATTACAGGGTTTATTAGGGAAGCACCAGGCTACAACTCAAGTCCAGGAAGAACGCTCAGTCTCTCTCCCAGCCCACTGTCCCTCAGCCAAGAGTCTCTCACAGTCTCTTTTCCAGCAGTGCTGGTCCCTCGGTGTCTCACTCAGTGATGCGTGTCTCTTGCGGCTCTTTCCCAGCAGCACGTGTCTCTTTCAGGGGTGCGTGTCTCTTTCGGCAGCACGTCTTCCTCCACCAGCAGTCAGAGAGAGTTCTGCCTCCAGGAGGCCTCCTTTTGAGCCTGGAAGGGTGGTCAAACTAACCAATCACAGCATCAGAACTCTAAGCACGTGAGAGAGAGTGGGAACTTCCCAGAACATTGTATTGTGCCACGCCCAACAGAAATAACCCAGGTGGGCGACTTTAAAATCAGGATCTCCTCCGTAGCTAATAGCAGTTCCCACCTTAGAGTTTACAAAGACTTATGGGTAGAAAAGCCACACTAAGTAATTTACTACACCGCAGATCTAAAGGAATTGCTTTATCAAAGAGTCCTCATTTAGCTTCCATCAAGAGACAACTTTAAAATATCATTCCTGCAGCTGTCCATATTAATTTATAATAGCCTTGCAGCCATCTCTGCCTCTTGGAATAGTACTGTTCTCTTTGTCTTATCACTATTGTAACAGCTCACAGAACAATTTTGTTTCTAATAGTGTAGATATCCTACTTAGAGGGATGAAATGGAAGGCCATAAAATGTGCTGGACTGAGTAGGATTTGGAATCAGAAGATTGAGGTTTAAGGCCTATTCTGCCCCTAACTCGGAATAAATTCTTTAGTATCTGTCTTTGTCAAGATAGGGTTAATGATGCCCTACCTGCCTGCCTTAGTTTGTTGAGGGATCCATCACATATGTTCTGTAGATTAAGCCATATGAAAGTTAAAACTTGAAACATTTTTTGGGCAGGTGAACTATGAAGTTAATGAGAACTAATTAACCCTTTAAAGAGCAGGAGATAAAGTAGACACATGATATCCTTAAGCCATATTTTACTTCATACTCACACCTCAGAAGCTTTCGAACATAGAAGCTTTTGAACATCTCCCTCTGTCTTCCTTCCTTATTACATGTTGTCTGCATTGCTTTTTGTAGTATTATTTTTCAAGATGTTGCCTTTTATAATAGCTGCCAATAATAATACAATGCTTTTAAGGGATCAGTCTGTTAAGCTACATGAATTTTTCCAATAACAGATGAGGAAACTGGGCTCACAAATGTTCAATAATTTGTGTCAGATCATATAAGCTACTAAGTGGCAGAGCCAGAGTTGGTCCAGATCTGTCTACCTGCTAGACATTTATTCAGCAGACATTTATTTGGTTTCTACCATGGGTGGTGCAAACAGTTAATGCTTTCATCTGCTAACTGAAAGGTTTGAGTCCACCCAGAGGCACTTTGGAAGAAGGCTCTGGTGGTCTGCTTTCAAAAAAGTCAGCCATTGAAAACCCCATGGAGAACAGTTCTAGTCTGATCCATGGGGTTGGAGTGAGTTGGAATCGACTTGGTGCAATTAATTTTACCAAGGGCCAAGTCCTGCATTGTGTTGTGTAGAGAGATAACATTTAGACTAAGACATTTTATTGGGACCTCTCCTGAGGATGATAATGTTAACCCCTTTCTCATTAGAATCCTCAGCTTCCATACCCTCCATTTCATCCATTTCCCTGGTTGAATCCAACCATTTACTCTTTTTGTGCTTTTATTGCTGAGCTCATGTACAAGATGATGGTCTGATAGGCTCAGTTCCACTATCAGTTGGTGGTTCCCAGACTCCTTTAGACTGTGTGTTCTCTACTTGTCCTTGGTCAGTCCCTCTCCCATTCCTCACGTGGAGCAATCTTGATTTTTCTCCCAGCTTTACTAAACATGAGTAGGTAATTGCTCGTGTTAGCTAACAATTAATTTGACAATTGAAATTAATGCTTATGTTTCTCTTTTTTAAAGGACCTGTATATTGTTATTAATGGTGGTGTTAAGGAAACCACAGAACTTCTGAAACAGCGATTTGACCACATTTTTTATACAGGAAGTACTGCAGTTGGAAAAATTATCATGGAAGCTGCTGCCAAGCATTTGACCCCTGTGACTCTTGAACTGGGGGGGAAGAGTCCATGTTACATTGATAAAGATTGTGACTTGGACATTGCTTGCAGGTGAGAGTTACTCTCTGGTTATCTGAGGTTTTCCTAGCACATTGAAGAGTGGGTAATAGGTTGTCGTATCCTTGTACATGAACCCCATGCTTTGTGAGTCTGAGATAAATCATTAAGCTTTGATAGTTGATGTCATCAACCACCAAAGTGTAACAGAACTCTTTCACAAATTGTCTCTTAGTACCACTATCAGAAAAGATGAGCCATTGGTCTTGATGTCATGTAGTTGTCCTCAGGAATTATGAAAAAATTTTTTCTGTCCTTTAGATTTATGAATAGATCAAGCAAGACATTTTACTGTTCTTCTGGGAAATGACCCAGGAAGAGGGTATTCCAAAATATCACCTATGCCTGATAAAATCTTTAAACTGCCACTTGAAACGGTGTTACGTTGATCTCTTAACTGAGTTCCTTTGTTGACAAAACCAATATTACTCATCTTTTCACTTTGAATAGCATCTTGCATCTGGGAACTACAGAATAAAAGGTTTCAGGTTCTATGTGCTTAATCAGGTTTAACTACTCGGAATGCTAAAATACAGAATTGACTCTGTCCACGGTGTAGTGTGGTTGCCTTTCCCCTTCCCAGATAGGGAGCAAGGAGTAATTAGGTAAAATCTGGGCTTCAGGTTGGCTGCATAAGTAGAAGTCTGATTGCCAGAATATGAGATACTCAGTGACTATTTAGGTAGATTCGGGACTTCTGTGCATACCTAAGGAGCTCTGGTAGTGTAGTGCTTAAGGCACCTGACTGCTAACCAGAAGGCTGGCAGTTCAAACCCACCAGCCACTCCTCGAAAGAAAGGTTGGGCAATCTACTTCCGTAGTGATAGTGCTCGCTATGAGTTGGGTCCGACTTGACTTGATGGTGCATAACAACAACAACAACATGCATACCTAGGAATAGCATTCCAAGTTGAGGAAGGGCTCCACACAGAGGAAGGTGGTCTTATAAGCAGGACCTAAAGTCACAACCAGGAGAGGCAGAGTCTGTACCAGACTTCTGTTATCCAAGATGTCCTTACGGCTGGGATAGGAGGAGAAAGGAGGTTTTGTGAGTCTGTTTCTCCTCTTTTCCTGCAGCACTGCTCATAAAATGGCTTCACTGCTCATAAAACCATGAGCTGGCTTGAGAACTTTTCCTGTCACTTATAACATTTTACCTCATTCAGAAAATACATTCTAAGGTTGTTGGAACCAACTGATTTACTGATGAGTTTTTTAAATGTTTTTTATTTTTTTTATAAAGACTACCAAGTAAATATATGAATAATTAACACACTCTAGTTGTAAACCATTCAATCAACACAAAAGTATGTAACAAGTGAATATTGGACAGAATTATATACCTATTCTGTTTCTCCCCCTCCCCCACCCCCAGACGCATAACGTGGGGGAAATACATGAACTGTGGTCAAACCTGCATTGCTCCAGACTACATTCTCTGTGAACCATCCCTCCAGAATCAAATTGTGCAGAAGATTAAGGAAACTGTGAAGGTCTGTGTTCAACACATCCGATTCTGTATATTTTATTAAGATAGGGAGTCATATTAACTGTTGACAGGTAGCATTACCATTCCCCCTTCTAAGAAAATCCAATAGCATTTGTGACTGATTTAATTTATCAGTTAATTAAAAGCACTCTGTACATCTTTTACAGAATGTTTACTGGGAGCAAGGTTAAGGGGATTTTAATAGCCGCTTAAACTGTAGTTGATTTGTTGGTGAAACAACTAGTTAGTTGGGGCACTTACTTAAGAAAAATTAAATAATCGTGTTTGTGTTTTTGAGACAATGTTGTTGCCAGTGTAATTGTTAAAATATAATTGGAGACCCTTTGGCATACTGGCCATTGCTGATTAAGGTTATTAGGACTTACATATGTGGAGGGTCTAGGATGACCAGTAGTTTGGAGGGGTGAGTTAATTAAATACCTACTTATAGTGTACTCTTTACATATTTATGAATCTTTCAGAATGTTTGAAGTAAGGATCTTTAGTGAGGGAATTGGGAAAGCCTGCATGATGGTGTCCAGAGCTCAGCCTTTAAGGAAATGTAGGACTTGAATTGGTAAAAAGAAATGGGATGATCAGGTTGTGACTGAGGATAGTGGTTGGAAGAAGTCACTAAGTACTCTGGGTGGAAGAAATGATTAGAAAAATCATTTCTCACTCAGAAGATGCTAATTGAGCACTGAAAGGATCAAGAATAAGAATACTAAAGAGTAAGGTTTATGACCAGGGAACAAAAATTGTATGCCAGGAACTTTAGGGAGTTAGTTTAGGGCTCCAGGCAGGGTAACTCTGGACATGGTGCAGAAGGGCTTGGTGTGGAAATGGGACTGGACGTTAGTAGTGGGATTGGATGGAACCATGCCAGGAGAACATGAAGGAAAGATTGGGTAGACTCAGGGATTGTGCAATGGTAGAGAGAGTTAAAGATACCTGTGAGATTAAAGTATTTGGGAATTGGAGAAGAAGTGGTTAGTTGAGAATGGTAATGAGCTCATTTTAAGGAATAAGGGCCTCTTTTCCTTTCTTTCAGGCATTTTATACTCCTGTGCAGTGGTTCTCAACTTAGTTATACATAAAAGTCACTGGGAAACCATATAAAATTAAGTTTCCAGCCCTTAACCCTCTGAAGATTCTGATTCAATTGATCAGGGGTCCCCAGGTGATTCTAAGGTACAAAAGGTATCGAAAACCCCTGATGTTAGCTCTAAAGAGCTCTGGTGGCACAGTTATTAAAGCACTTGGCTGCTAACCAGAACATCAGTAGTTAAAACCCTTCAGCCACTTTGTGTCAGAAAGATGTGGTAGTCTATTTCTGTAAAGATTTACAGCCTTAAAAACCCTAGGAGGGAGTTCTGCTCTGTCCTACAGGGTCTCTATGAATTGGAATTGACTCAATGGCAGTGTGTTTTGGTTGAGTTGGTAGTTCTGGAGGTGGTACTCAGGAACATGCATTTTCATAAGTAGCCTGGGCAATTCTTACCATCCAGACTTGAGAATCACTGTTGGTGGGTGAATAATTTTCATTTTAAGTGAGAATAAATTGAGAGCTCTCATAAGGTTTTAAAATGATACCCTAACAATGTCATTTCAATCATGAGAAGGCAGAGTAGCAGTATAATATAGTTTTGTGTTTATTTTACTTAATAAATACTGATTTATGATTGTTGAGGTTCTGTTAATTTGGGTAATTTATCAAACAAACAAACAAAAAAAAAAACAGATTCACTGCCATCAAGTCGATCTGACTCATAGTGACCCCCATTGGGTTTCCAAGGCTGTAAATCATTATGGAAGTAGATTGTTTCATCTTCCTCCCATGGAGTAGCTGGTAGGTTTGAACCACTGACCTTCTGGTTAGCAGCCACATACCTTACCCACTATGCCACCAAAAAGAACCTAAACCAGACTCACTGCTGTTAAAGTCGATTCAACTCATACTGACCCCTCCTTGGGTTTCTGAGGTGGTATCTCTACAGGAGTAGATTGCCCAGTTTTCCTTCCGAGGAGTGGCTGGTGGGTTTGAACTGCCAGCCTTCTGGTTAGCAGTCAGATGCCTTAGGGACTAAGCCACCAGAGGTTCTTAAAATACAGTTTATCAGAAACTGTATTTTTATTCTTTGAGTGTTTTCACTATCATCTATGATCATTCCAGAAAAGATAGAAAACAACAAAACAGAGCAGAGGTTGCAATCTTCCGTGAAGGGTTAGCTAGTACATATTTTAGGCTCTGCATGCCATACATCTCTGCTGCAACTACTTAGCTGCATTGCAGTGGGAGAGTAGCCATAGCTAGTACACAAATGAAAGGGAAATCATTGAGAAAAAGCAAGACTGCTTCCGCTACACCTCCTCCACCAGTCACCCCCAGGTAGGCCCAGGATTGACCCCCTGAAACTGTGTGTTTGCTTTTATATCTTGTCCTTGACCTGCCAAAAAGCTTCAACTTCCTATTTTACTACTATTAAATTACTTGTGGAGGATGGAGTGGAGTGTTGGATTCTATAGGGATATAAAACCATATAGATTTTTGGGCATGGGTGGATTTTGTAACTTATTAAAGAAATTGAAAAATGTATGTTTTATGACAATTAAATATTGTATTGTTTTAAATAGGAATTTTATGGAGAAAATGTGAAAGAGTCTCCTGATTATGAAAGGATCATCAATCTTCGTCATTTTAAGAGGATAGTAAATCTGCTTGAAGGACAAAAGATAGCTTATGGTGGGGAGACTGATGAGACCACATGCTACATAGGTAATAAAAATTTACCTTTTCCTCTAGGAAGATGACAGTTGCAGTTTTCACTGACAGTAAATAAACTTTTAAATGTATAAAAATTCAGTATGCCAGGAATTAGTATTTAATAGTTTAATATTTATATAATAGTTTAAATTATTTAATAGTTAATAATAGTTCATTATTAAATACTGGTTTTTGGCACACTGCTTTTATTATAAACTATTAAAAAATGTATGTATGCATATGTGTTTAATAATGCCAACTGTATTATGTTAGTTTTTCAGTATTTACACATATATTTTTGTTTGTTTGTTTTTTTCACTTTTATTGTGGTGAAAACATATACAACAAGACATTCTTCACCAGCCTAACAACTTCCACATTTATAGCTCAGGGACACTGATAACATTTTTCATGTTGTGCTACCATTATTGCTATCTTTTTCCAAAATACTCCACCAGCATTAGCATAAACTCAGTGCCCTGCAAACAAAAACTTCACTTTCCCCCTCCCTCCAACCCCTGGTAACTACTAATAATCTTTGGTTTCTACTTTTTTTTCTCCCAACCCATCCCTGGTAACCAACAAAGAACGTTTCCTTCCATGTGTAAACCTTTCCTTGACTTTTTACAAAGGAGTATTTACACATGTTGTTGTTGTTGTTGTTGTTATGTGCCGTCGAGTCAGCCCTGACTCATAGCGACCCCTCCTTGGGTTTCCGAGGCAGTATCACTACGGAAGTAGGATTGCCCAACCTTCCTTATATTATCTAATTTTTTCCCTGACAACCCTGAGAAGCAGACTAGAATGCTGTATAATTATCCCCAGTTCATGGATGGGAAAACAGCCCAGAAAAGGAATTAGCTTAGCCACAATTTCACAACCAGCCAGTGGCAGTCCCATTCCAGAAATAATGTTTTGATCTTGTACTTAACCTTTTTTTAATCTTCTTTGTGTTTTATTTTTTTGCCACGAATATGTATACTTTTGAATTTTTTTAATTTTTATTGTGATTTGGGTGAAAGTTTACAGAGCAAATTCGTTTTCCGTACAGGAGTTCATACACATTTTGTTTCATAACATTGACTGTAGTCCCCACGATATAATAGCTCTCTTCTCACTTCTTCCCTGTAATTATCTTTTCCCTGTGTCCTTCTTTCCTATGCATTCTTGCCCCCACCTCCAGCCCCCCAGCTATATCTCTGTGGAAATACTGCCCTTCTGTTCTCCCATGCTTGATCATTCTAAGGAGTGTGGCTGCCTGGTGTAAATGTTCACCCTATATGCCTGTCTATTGTTTGGCTGGAAGCCATGGGAGGGAGTTCAGTTCCAGGCCCGAAGGCTAACTAGGGGCCATGGGCGTGGGGGTCTTACTAGGCTCTATCAGATGAGTAAGCCTGGTCTTTTTTTTATGATTTTGAGTTTTGTTCCACATTGTTCTCCCACTCTATCCATATACTTTTGAATTTTAAACACATTTTTCTAAAGTAACATACAAGGTGACAAAAGAATTATAAGCACATTTAGTTATTTAGTTAGCAAAGAAGCTGACCCTAATCGCTTTACCTATGAGTTAGGACTTTGCAAGTCACACAAAAACAAACAGTTTAAAGGATTTAAACAGTAAGAAAAAATACAGTCTCTCATAATGAGCAGTTCCAAAGTGCTGCAAACTCCCCTGCCATTGATTCTGATGCATAGTGACCCTGTAGGACAGAGTAGCCTTCCCCATAGGAAGTAGCTTTAAATTTCTGAAGCTGTAAATCTTTACAGAAGCACACTGCCACATCTTTCTTCTGTGGAGCAGCTGGTGGGTTTGAACCACCGACCTTTGCGTTAACAGTTGAGCTCTTAACCACTGTACCATCAGGACTCCTTTGAGGTGGTCCAGGGCTGACTAATCATCAAAGGCTTCAATTTTTCCATCATTCTGTTCCTTTATCCTTAGCATGTGACCTTCTCTTTTACTAACTTACATGCCTGTGTTTGAGGCAGCACAGACACATGTATGCAATAAATCCAATGGAAGGAAGGAACTGGCTAGTTTTTCTACTTATAAGCAATGAAAACTGCCAGCCATTTCACCTTCTCTTATTGTGCAGAACTGGGCCACATGCCCCTTTGTGGGCTAATTGATGACAAGTAGAAAGGTTGATCGTGGGTTACTTAGACTAAAAGTAAGCAGGACTTTCCCCTGACCTGGAGTTAGGGTTGCCTTGCCTGAGCACATGACTCTACAGGGCAAATAAACTTGGTACTCTGACCCTGAGGAAGAAGTGGAGAGTGGACTTTGGGTAGCAGCTTATACTTCTGGAGTAGTGCTAGAAAGGTCATGCAAAGATGAGCTAGTAGGATAGGGATAAAGGAAGAGAGCATGTGTGATATTGCCCCGTCTTCTTTAGTTGATAATAGAGTTTGTTCGCAAGGTCTTTTTGAGTACTATTAATTGGTGACTTGGGAGTCCCTGGGTGGTGCAAATGGTTAATGCTTTCAGCTGCTAAGCAAAAGGTTGGTGGTTCATGTCCATCCAGAATAGCCTCAAAAGAAAGGCCTGGCAATCTACCGGTGGTCCCTGACTTAGGGGACTTAATGACTTTCGTAAGTCAGTTTTGACATAAGTTGAATACATTTTTTTTTTTTAAGTTGTCATTATTATTGCCTTTTATAATCAGAATCTTTATAAATCTGATCTTTATTTGTCTTTAGGGATTGGAATCATTACATATAAACATCTGCAAGTGAATCTGAGGATGGTAACACCAACACAACGAAACATTCTGTGTAGTACATAAGTTTTCCCCACTATCTGAAAGTAGAGCATTCCAGTGAAATCTTTTATAGGCCAAAATGGCATGAAGTGAGGGAACAATTGCCATTAATTAATTAATTGAACATTTTAGTGTGCGTTAGGTGAAAGTTTACACAGCAAACTAGTTTTCCATTCAGTAATTCATACACAGATTATTCTGTGACATTGACTGTGATCTCCAATTACCATTAATTTTATGGAAAAAAATTCTGAGCATTCTCAGACCTGAAAAATAAACCCATCAAATAATACCAAGGAACACATAAAACCTGAAATAACAAAAACACTTCAAAGCTATGGCAACTTCATGCTGAGATGCTGAATGTAGTTCCTAGTGAAGGAGCTTGGTGACACCACTTGGGCTGCACAGGGTGCAGGCTGCCTTGTAATGGCTTACTCCAAATAGAATGCTAGTTTTTTTTGCTGTTCACCTTTTTTTGTAAAAGTGAATATCCTCCTTGGATTTATTTCAGTTAGCAAAAACAAACACTAATGTAGTTCTTTCATAAAATACAATGTAAATTTTCAAAAAGCAGGGATACTAACTACAACATGTACAAAATAAAGGACGGTAGTAAGTGCAGTTCAGTGTAACTCAAATACAGCGTAAGTCAACGACTACCTGTACTTCTGAAAAATCAGCCATTGAAAATCCTATGTAACACAATTCTGCTCTGACACACTTGTGATTACCATGAATCAGAGGCGACTCCACATCCACTGATAAATTGGTGACCTAACATTCATACGGATGCTGGACAATACTTCAATAGCCATTTTGTCTTCTTATATCCCTTCCCCATAGTAACAGAACATTGAACTAAGGGTTAGGGAATTTTGACGATTTAGGTATGTTTTCTTAATCTGTAAAATGTCCTTACAGTCTAACAGAGTTGTTACAAAGATCAGTGAGATAATATGCATCAAGTGCACTTTATATTAAGAAGAAATGATGTTAATTTTATTTCCAGAGAGATCTGTTCACAAAAACATGTAAATATAATCTCCTTTTAAGTATGCATAAGGCCACCTCTTCCATTGTATGTTGTTGTTGTTTTGTGCCGTTGAGTCAAATCCGACTCATAGAGACCCCTTCTTGGGTTTCCGAGGCACTATCACTACGGAAGTAGATTGCCCCATCTTCCTTCCGAGGAGTGGCTGGTGGGTTTGAACCGCCAGCCTTCTGGTTAACAGTCAAATGCCTCCCCTTCCAGTGTATACCTATCCCCTATTTTGCACAAGCATCCCCTGATTCACATGCTTGGAAATACTTAATATTCACAGAGGTTGATACACATACTTAGGACTTTTTTTCAAGAGATATGATTTGGATGGTAGTGGAAGAGAATGGATAGGTGACACAATGAAGCAAGTGTCTTCTACTTTAGCATTTTTAGTTTCATTTTGTATATTTCCTTTTTAGCTCCAACAATACTTACTGATGTCGATCCGGAAACCAAGGTGATGCAAGAAGAAATTTTTGGACCACTTCTTCCTATAGTGCCTGTGAAAAATGCAGATGAAGCCATAAAATTCATAAATGACCGTGAAAAGCCCCTGGCTTTTTATGTATTTTCTCATAACAAGAAGGTAAAGTCCATAGAAAACAGCTTGCTGTCACAAGCCACTATCATAAATCATTGTCCTTCTTTCCTATAAAGGAATTAATGTTCTATCTTGTATGATATTAGAGTTAAGGCACTCTGGTGGTACAGTGGTTAAACCATTTGGCTGCTAACCAAAAGGTTGGTAGTTCAAACACACCAGGTGCAACTGATGAGGCAATTTGCTTACATAACGATTTACAGCCTTAGAAAACCTGTAGGACAGTTCTAACCTGTCCTATAGGGTTGCTGAGTCAGAAGCAACTCAATGGCAGTGGTTTGGTTTTTTGTTTTTGAATATTAGAGTTCCCCAAATGAGGTTGTATTCATAGATTGCTATATTGGGTAATGAGGCCCTGGGATTATCATTGTATCCCTTCCCATACTCCCTGGGGTTAGATTTGAGTCTACAGTGGTATCACCAGTTTTTTAACTCACAACCACATCCTGTATAATTGGAAGAGTTCGATGTACCAGCATTAGATGATTGTGTGACATTTATACAGGGGCATTCCTGTGTAAGATCCTTCACCTTTTATCTAAATGGCATTGGCAGATAATCAGATGTGGCTGTGTAAGACAAAGATCTCTGGCATTGTCATGTAAAGAGTGTTATATCTTGCACTTCAGTTTCTCAAATTCAGTCACTTTTAGTGTGGTAGAACACAGAGGACTACTTCACAGCTCATTGATCTACATTGCTAGTACTGGCTGCTGCCAAAGGGGTAATGGCCTCAAAGTCGGAAAGTAGGTTCAAAAGCCCTCTGTAAAAAGGGAAAACTGGAAGGAAGGCAAAATGAGACCAGTCAAGGTCTGAGAAGTTCTGAGGTTTTCTGGAGCGCTTCTGATGGCTCTGTATAGGCAGTTGTGACAGCTTCTGGAGCTTGAGTGCAGTGGCGACACAGATACTACAATGAGACCAACTGATAATGTGGTGTACAGGAACCCTGAAGTCTAAAGTATATTGGCCAGGTTGCAGCGTGGGGGTGGGTTGGGGAGCGCAGAACTTTCTAGCAGTTGGGTCATCTGAGGTGCTAAAGTCCATACTTTGCTTTAGCTGTGAAGAGCTTTCAAGGCCTTGCTGGCACCCAAGAGAAATGACGTAGACCAGCCAAATGTTACTGTGCCTGCATGGTATTAGGGTGATCATTTATTAAAAAATGGGGTGCTAAATTAGAAATCTTAAGTATGTTTTGTATTACATGAAACAAAATCTATTAATCATGTGCTTTAATTTAAGATACAGAAAACATGAGCAATTTTTAAAAGCTGAAATATAATCTAAACTGCTCTTTATGAAAAAACCTTTTGCTATTTTGCATTTGGAAACCTGTAAATGGTGATTGAGTCAAAAGCCTTGAAAATTTAAGGCTACCTCACTTGATGTATTGGAAGTGCTTCTGAGGTGTTGGATATGTTGCTAAACTGAGCCACAGTGTTTGATCAAGTCAGTTTATTTATGTGCTTATTGATCCCAGAATAGACATGGTATCCCCAGACTTGAGACTGCTGCTGAAGTGTCAAGGTAGAGCACACAGATCTCCATTAAGGAGCTATGTGTGGGCCCATGATCTTCTCTGGTTCTGACCTAGAAAACTTTGTTTTGTTACCTAGTTGATCAAACGAATGATTGATGAGACGTCCAGTGGTGGCGTCACAGGCAACGATGTTATTATGCATTTTACACTCAATTCTCTACCATTTGGAGGAGTGGGTGAGTATTGCTTTCTCTTGTTACAGTAAATATTCACCACCACAACGGTGCCATGCACCTTATTTGCATTGTTAGCAAACAATGGATTTCCTTGGTCGGCCATGTATACATAGACCTACCCAGTCATTTAGTGGGAGTTATAAGACCATGGCTTGAAAGTTACAAGACCATATCAAAGCGATCTATTGCACTGCAGATAAATATTGCCAAATTGCCCTGTAAAGTTAGACCTTTTTATATTTCCTTGAGCAGTATATAAGTGATTGCCTCATAATTCCCCACACTGGATATTTCCATTACTAGGCAAACTGTTAATCAAAAAAACATGTATAATTTTAATTTGCACTCTGATTATTAGTGAAATCTGAACTTTTTTCAGTTCTTATGAATTTTCTATTCATGTCCTTTGCTTGATAATTTTGTTTTATTTACCTTTTCTTTATTGACATGCAAGTGCCCTTTTTATAACTAAGAAAATTAATTGCATGGTCACATCTGTAGTAAATGTTTCTTTGTCTCTGATTTGAACCTACCATACAGTTGTGCCTGTGATGCCTTTTGCTTTATGGTTTCTGATTTGGGAGTTCGGCTTAGGAAAGTCTTCTCTGCTGTAGTATTATATGAGTATTGATCTGTATTTTCTTTAAATTCGCTAATGGTTTGTTTTTCACATTTAACCATGGACTTATTTTGGAGTTACTTTTCCCAAAGCGTAAACCAATTATGCTGACATAATTTTTTCTGAATAATAATTCTTCCTAAAATTGATTTTAAGTATTACCTTTATCATAATCTTTATGTTTTATTATTATTATTATTCAATAAAAAAAACATTTAGGTCATTCTTTTGAGTTGTTTCTTTGGTTTCCTTGATTTTTCTTTCTTTTTTTTTTTCCTTCCCCCTCCTGGATGATTACCTAATGGCTAATGTTATATGAATAGACCATATTTTGTTCATCCGTGGATGGGCACTTTCTTGAAACCTACTGTTCCTTTGGCTTTTTACACATTATTTTTTTCTGTTTTCTTTCTACCTTTATCATGTCTTTAGTCAGCTCTTCCTTCTCTACCCTCCCTAAAGGTCAGAATGTCTCAAGGTTCTGTCCTCAGTCCTCTTCTCACATCACACCTGCTTCCTAGGCAGTCCCTTTCTGCACCTTCAGGTCGTGCTGATGATAGGTTGGCCTGGTGAACTTCTCACTGGTCTCCAGGCATCCGTGTCTTATCCTCTGTCATCATACGCTCTTCTCTTTGCTTCTCCCCCTTTCACTTGCCAGGCTGTTACACACATAATAAAGTAGGAAAAGGAATACTGTCACAGAAGTTGGCTTTTTTTTTTTTTTAAGAGGGCAGAGATTTACACTTATTGTCAGCTGGCTTCATAATCCTGTTGTGCTAGTCTCCATCACTTCTAGGGGCCCACTAGCTGCTTCATGGGAGAAAGATGTGGCAGTCTGCTTCTTTAAAGAGTTATAGCCTTAGAAACCCTACAGGGCAGTTCTACTCTGTCCTGTAGGGTCGCTATGAGTTGGAATCAACTCGATGGCAGTGGGCTTTTTAGGTTAGAGGAAGCAAATGAATAAGCAGGGCCATGGAGTGGTACAAGAGCATATATAGTATTTAAAGTCAGACTGATCAGGGGTCACATTCTACCTACCACGGGACCTTAGGCAGATTGTTTGACTCTGCTAAGCTTTTTTCTTTCTAGAAACAGAGATAATAGTATCTTACTCAATAAGGGTGTAGTGAGGATTTCATTAGGTGATGCTTTATACTCTTAGCACAGTCCCTGGCATAAATGAGAGCCACTACCCTAGAAGAGCTACAAACCCTTGCCCTACTCTTGGCAAGTGTTCTGTGTGATAGGGAGAGTCAATTTGCTAGAAAATGTGGGAAGGAGTTCCTACGAAGAGGTACTTCGAATGCCAGAGAAGTACAGTGGGGGCATCCCAGGCAGCAAGGAGTTTTTCTTGGTCAGCGTTGAGAAGGACCACACTTACCACTTGTATCATACCTACCAAAAAACCAGTTGCTATGGAGTTGACTCAGATTACTGATGACCTCATGTGTGTCGACAGAACTGTGCTCCACAGGATTTTCAGTGGCTGGTTTTTCGGGAGCAAATCGCTGGATCCCCAGCCTTTCCTCTGAGGTACTTCTGCGTGGACTCAAACCTCCAACTTTTCATCTGGTAGCCATGTGTGTCAACTGCTGACACCACCCATCAACTCTTACAATACCTATGGTGAAGCCTTTTTGTACCTTCTCTTTCAGGTGCTAGTGGAATAGGGGCTTATCATGGAAAACATACGTTTCATACTTTCTCTCATCACCGTTCCTGTTTATTAAAAACTTTAAAGAGAGAAGGTGTTAACAAACTCAGATATCCTCCCAACAGCCAGTCAAAGGTAGATTGGGCAAAATTGTTCCTTTTGAAACGGTTCAACAAAGGAAAACTTGGTCTTCTGTTGCTCACCTTCCTGGGTATTTTAGCAGCTGTGCTTATCAAGGTAAGTCTCTAGTACTCCTGAGGTGTCTGTCTGAATGCCTAATACATGCATTTTTCTTTCCTGTCATGGGAGTTCTATTTTTATAAATGAACTGTATCTCTTATATTAACTTTTGAAGTGTACTGGCCAGCTGTTTTTTAAATACAGTTTTATAGGAGCACAGCTACACTCATCCGATTACTTATTGTCTGTCATTGCTTTGGTGCTTCAATGACTGAATTCAGTAGGTGGAACAGAGGCTATATAGCCTACAAAGTCTAAAATATTATACAGGATCTAAGAGTGTAAAACACTGTATGTAGAACATGCTTGCAGAATTCTGAGCTCACTAACTCTCTGATCCTTTTGCTATTGCTCTTTCATTTTAGTTTCCATTTTCGTAAATGTGCATGAAATCAGCATGCTCTGGAGGTGAAGGAGAATATTCTGTGGTAGAGGGTAATGGTGGTAAAAGTGACTTTGGTGAGGGATATTTATTAGGCTCAAGTATTTTTCTTCCAAAGTTGACTAACAGATAAAGTTTGTCTTAGGTGAGTAGTTGTTACAGAGATGGTTTTATGAAGAAGTCCTTGTGACAGCTACCTTCCTAAAGGCCTTTTGTGTATCCTTGCAAAGAACAGGAAAATGAACAAAAATCAAAGTAAAGATGGAACGGGGAAAGGAGATTGTGTTCTTTGAACCCTCAGCCTACTGACTGAGAAGGCTGAAACTGTTGACAACATTTGGGAAGAGAGGCAAGAATCCACTACTTACTGGAAATAATGGTGTTTATATTTGTATTTTGTTTAAAATTTGAAAGGGGGTTGCATTATCTTTCTCACAACTTTGGTGGTGATATACTATCAATTATGTCACTGTTTGGTGGAATTGATGATATCAGTTGCATTTGAAATCATTTGGGTTTTCTTAGAAATACCAAGCTGTGATAAGGAGAAAGGCCCTGTTGATTTTTCTGGTAGTTCACAGACTGCATTGGTCCAGGAAACAGTGGTGAACAACAGATTTCAAAACCCATCTCTGTAAAGAGTGAGGTAGGAACGCCTTGTTTTCTTTTCATATGTAAGGTGGGCCAAGTTGGGGTATATTTCTTTAGTTATTTGTTTTACTATAGTAGGAGGCTTAGGGGTTAGTGAAAAGAGAATGATTAACTTATCTCCAGACATTTTTGACCTTGGCCCAGAGTATCAAAGTACTGAAACTCAGTTACAAATTTTAAAAGAAGGGAGCTCTGCTGGTAATCTAAGACAAATGTGTAGAGTCATTGACTTATCTAGGTCTAAGTGAAGCACAAACCCTTTCTAGAGAAAGGATAGCCATGGTGGTGAGCCTCCTACTCTCTACATCCACTCAGTTCTCCTGGAGGACATACCATTTTGACCTTGACCTCTTTCTTTAGTATACAGTTTGAGAATAATCTTCTGAAAATATTTGGATCTTTTTTGTTTTTTTGTTTTGGTTTGATTAAAAAAATGTTAGACTTTGGAATTCATGGTAGCAAACTTAGTGAATCATGACTTAAGTGGTTTAGGGCTTTCTGCTTCGACATCTTTCTGAGACTGGGGATGTGTAGTTGGAGGCATGCTTGGTTCTCTGTCTAGTTCTTTTCCCAAGACATCTTACTCCAGCCTGATATGCCGCTTCCTGGTTGGGATAGAATTCCTCAGCCTCATGGAAAAGATGGATAACTGGGGTGAATCTGTGCCCCCAGGCTTGCCATATTGCCAGAAAGCCCTTCCCCCCGCCAGGGGCAATTGCATCATGCCAGACAGGCTGGGGCTGGACAGTGAGCCTGTCCAGTGTCCACATGAAGGTTTGGCAGTCTGGTCTTTCTCTTTTAGGGCTTAGAGAAGCAACAGTATGTTAGATTGGGTTCTCTAGAGAAACACAAAAA